AAAGGTCAGGCGCGTGCTGGGCATATATTTGTAACACTTTATGTTCCTTTTTTTAAGGTTACGCAACTCACGACCTTCTATATCGTGTTCTCTTCGGCTCCTCGAAAACTCACCCGCAACCTCACGCCGCTAACGTCTAAACGTATGTTTTCGAAGACCTTTTTCCCCGCACTAACTCAGGAGTCGAGCCGCAGTCAAAGGACAAACATTAACCCTGCTCCGCTCTTGCACATTTACATCACTTTGACTGCTGAGATCTCTAAAATTGCCCGTGGTCAAATGACTTAAGTTGTCTTCCTGGTATCAGCAGCTTAACAGCTCTGAAATTAGCTGCAAGCCAAGCAATCGCAAGAAAGTAGGGCTCGCCTCTCTGGTGAAGATCACATTGGCTTACAACACCTAAAGTAAGAACAGCTTCAATAACGGCGCCAAGGGCCTTTTTTCACCCAAACACTTCTAATCTAATGAATGTTGACGTTCAGGCCCAGAAAGAACTGCTCCCGCGGTCAAATCGTTCTTTTTTTTTCCTTCTTGCTAATGGAAGGTTTGCTTTTAACATATGCATGGTAATGATTCAACAGACCCGACATGACTATTCATCACAACATCAGTCTAAATTACCCCAACCACTTTTGTTCAATTCACCCTTGAAAGGAGACTGATGATTAGTACAGCAGCGGTGGAGAGCTAATTAATTAAAGTATGCACTAATAGCAATACCATTGAGGAAGAAATGCTTCAGAAACAATTGAAACAATATTAGTGTGTGTGTGAAGTGTAGGTGTGTGAAAGCACGGCATTGTTTTTCAGAAATAAAATATGTAGCACCTGAAAGCTGGCAAAAGCAGAATTAGAGAAGGACAAGGTGAACGATAGGGGGAGGTAGGGAATAATCCCCGTGTCCCTGCAGAGAACACGTGGTAAAACCCCGAAACAACAGGCCGCACTTTAGACAGAGGAGTAAATGGGATTTTCTTAAATGTCATTCAGGGCTAGAGAAGTTGTACCGCCTACCGGCTTCAGAAGCCTGGCAGCACCTGATTTTGACAAGACAAAGTTAAGTATGTCTTGTCAAGCCTGACCCACACTCACCCTCAGAAATCCTGATAACACCAGTATATGACATTCAAAAAGACAACTATATCCATATGGCATGAAACAGCGGGCCGTCTGACGCGGAGGAGCCTGACGTGTCGCTGTACTTCAGACACTTGTTTCCTCCAACCCGCTTGATTTAAGGCGGGTAGATCGCAACGATTCACTGCTGTTATTCCAGGGCTCCTCGCAAATAAATGAAGACCTTGGGGAAATCAGAACAGTTCCAGGTAGGATTGACTGACTGTTTAAGCAGAGCAGCCGAGGTGTGGACGCCACCACATGAATCACAAATCTGTTCTTTTACAAATGCTGCTGCTCAGGATAAACAGGTCTGTGGCTGCTCGGAGCCAACTGCTGTTTTCACAAAAATCAGATAAACGTACATATTTACACAGAACACAGCGTGTGCTTTTTTTTGATGTTTCCAAAGACGTCCTCATAGAGCAACACCAGCTAAACAATCACAGGGAACATTTTTGTAACAGGAAACACGAAAACACTATTCCCGACGGAGACTATCTGGCCTTCCTGTGGATCTCCGTTGACACTAACGCAGCCAATTATTGCTCAGACAGGGGAGGAGGGCCACGACTGAGAGCCAGAGGGAAAAACAGAAACACACAGTGAAATGTGTGATAGCACCTACAAGAAAACAGTTTGTCTGAGAGCTGTTACTGTCACACAGGCTCGAAACATAGTTTGTTTTAGCCATTGAGGGGAAAACACCTCGGTTTTCCACCACTTATTCATAGAAGAGCAGAAGTCAAGCAGGGGACACATTGAGGCAACACGTACTAAAGATGGATTTGTCCATCTCTCGGACGAGAGATTTAAAAGTAAGAGTTCAAAACGGGAACGATCGTTATCATCGGATTAATTCTCCGGCCCCCCCATTTAGGAGGAGGAAAGCAAGAGGTCGGACGACGTTGCCATTTTAGATCTGTCTTATTTTAAAAGAGTACGCATGACATTTCATTTAAATAAAATTATGTTTTGAATTTGTGAGCACTGATCATGTAGCTTCCCCTCTCTGGCCTGTACCTGGGGCTGAGTAAACATTTAAAAAAAACTCTGTTATCTACTTTAAACCTAGTGGTGATTTTATACATAAAGCTAATACCTAAACATAGTAAACAAAACTCCTTCCAGTGTCACCTTTATGTACAGAAATACACTTTCTAGCATCTAGCATGTTAGCAGTAAAAAGAAACTAGAATGTTGCGGCTAAGCGAGCGTTGTATTTCAGTTGTTTAAATGGGCTGTTTTCTAGCGTGGCTCGTGTTAGCAGTGTGCTAGCGCCACACTTGTATTGTATCAGTTCATCATTAATTGTGTAAAGAGTCCAGCGTAACCAAGGCTATGCCGTTCTGACCCTGCTAGCAACCGCACTCTGTATTTTCTACGTAAGTCAACTAAACTCATGCATTAAATTCATGTACACTAGGCCTAAAAAATTTTTTTTTATTTGTCTAAATCTATGGACTTGGCTCAGAGTCCCATTTTTTTTTTAACTTAAAAACCAGGGCCTTCAGATGCAGACTGTTCGGTGTTTACAAATCACGTGATGAAAAATAAACACCTGAATAGGAGTCTACATTTCAAATGATTTTAACTGGTACACCACAGCGCTTCTTTTTTTATTTTTTACCACAATTAACCTATAGTGATGCGCGTTAACTTGGTACATTTGTCCCAGAATCCTTTGCGCTGGGTGCCTGCTTGCTGCCGTTGCGTGAGCAGATTGAAACATGACTGCAGCAGTTTCTGAATGAACAGTGGCATAACCACAGGGGGCGTCGTCACGCATGTCAAACTTCACACACATGATGAAGCTTCGTTTCCTCTCGGTGGAAATGTCCACAGTGGGTTTTTTTTTCTGAGCTGTGCGAGTTTAAAAATTGACTGTCCCCTCTGTCGAGCCCACCTCCCCCGTATTCAACAGCTGTCATGACAGAGTCCGTCAGTCAGTTTGAACGCTGCACTCGTTTCCGTTACACGCCACAGAGGGCGACGCTGTCTCGTTTTCTGACGCTAATTTGCACAAACAAACAAACGTGGAGCTAAAGTTTGCGGTCGGATACGGGGCTGCCGCTGTGTGGTTACTCACGTTCCAAGGACTTCCTTGAAGTCGAAGATGTTCTTGATGTCATCGACGTGCTTTTTCCAAGATCCATCGTTGGACTCGCCGTTTTCTTTCGCCATCGTGAGGGAGGTTGAGTGGAGGAGGAGGAGGAGGAGGAGAGACGCGTCCTTCTGATCACCACGGTCGCCTTCCCCACAACGAAAAACAAACGAAAAGGGGAAATAGAAAAGTAGTAGCACTGTGGTCTTGCACTCTCTGGTTTCCCGGCAGCTTGTGAGACGGTGTCCTCAGATCACGCATGAGGACAGACGGGTAAACCCAGCCAGAGGAGGTCTGTTCTACCCCGGGAGGTTATTTGACTAATCTCTTTGACGTAGCGGTTACTGAGTCTGAGCTTCCCCGCTGTTCACATCACTGTGGCAGGGAGACACTGGCTCTCTCTCCTCCTCCTCCTCGTCCTCCTCCTCTTTCTCTTCCTCCTCCTCCCCCCGGGCGGGACTCAGTCATGTGTCGAGCGGCGCTGTGGTGAACAGAGGTCGGGCCACCTGCACCTGCAGGGAGGGGGGATGATGACAATCGACCGCCCTGTGGTTCTCACAGCAGTAAATTAGCAGTTGCTGCAGCCTCTCCCTGTGTATCGCCGTCTCTGACAGACGGCGTCCATACTAAAGAGCACTGGTGCGTTCACACTGCACCAAACGACACCGTCCTCGTGCAGGAGAGTCTCTGCCACAGTTTCTGTTACGGCTGTACACATCACATCAGACCGAGTACAGTCTGCTTTCTGCTGCACACCAATCCTTTCATGGTTTGAGGCAGAGGCGTAGTTGAAGTCATACGTGAAGGCAGGGGGTTACAGAGTGACTGTTTTGGAATTATCTGCAGTGTGCAAATACAATCCAGACTCTGTCCAAACTCACTCATCTGCGATGGTTGACATGTGCCTGTAAACACAGCCTGTGTTCAACCACATGCTGATGCTGCAGCGTTTGATAAATCTATAAATGGTGACCACCAGCAGGTGTGGATTGATCTGAGACAACAATGGGGAAGCTCAGCATCTTTTAAAATCCCATAAAACAGGAGGTCATTACCATACTGATTTTTTTTTTTTTTCCCGGTACAAGCGAACGAAATCACCAGCTGTTATACAGTAAATGGTACGTTTCATACCAGCAGCTTATCAGAGATCACTTGATGTCATTTTCTTCTCACTTGTTTCCTGTAGCAGGGCCCACTGTGGTGGATGAGATATGCATGTTTACTTTAGAAAGGCTGACCGTTCAGCTCTTCGTGTTGATCGGCACGGCTGAGTTGCAGAGCTGTTTCAACTCCTCCGACTTTCCGTTTGTGGCCACGTGTGCGACTGAAAAACTGAAACAAAGCGGGCACACGTAGGTAATGTACTTGCCCCGGTGTTATAACCCAAGACCATTGCTTTGCAAGTCACAAGTAAGTCTCAAGTCTTTGCACTCAAGTCCGAGTCAAGTCTCAAGTCAAGATAGGCAAAGTCCGAGTCGAGTCCAAGTCAAGACTGAAAAGTGTCAAGTCAAGTCCCAAGTCCTGCCGTTTCTGTTTCGAGTCCTTTCGAGTCCTTTTCAAACAAAATAACAATATATTTACACAGATCACTTTGGGTTTTGGAGAAAGTCTCGAGTCTTGTCGAGTCAAAGGGCTCGAGTCCAAGTGAAGTCACGAGTCATTGATGTTAAAGTCCAAGTCGAGTTCCAAGTCTCTTTACATTTTGTCAAGTCGAAGTCTAAAGTCATCAAATTGATGACTCGGGTCTGACTCGAGTCCAAGTCAAGCGACTCGAGTTTCATTTTAGCACAACTGCTTCAGGCTGGTTTGTTCATCTTCATCGCGAAGAGAAAGTGTCATCACAAAACCTCCAATTGAGACCGTGGTGTTATACGAAAGAGAGATAAGGGCCAAATAAGAAAAACTCATATTTTATTAACTCCCAATGCGCTGACATGTTTTTCCACCAGGAGTCATGACTGACCCACTGCCACGGGCATGCTCGGGGCGTCGATTGTTCGGCGTAAGTTGTATTTTTGGCCTAAACTAAGTTTGAGCTCCCTTGTGTCCCTGAATCAGAGTAAATTTTAGTTTAGACACAGCACAACCGTTTCTCCCGATCACACACACGTCATGTCACATTTTCCCCACAGTCATTATTGGCATTTTTATAAAAACCAACACACCCAATTATTTTGGGTCATTTTTTTTTTTTTTTTGCCGCCCCACTCACAATTACAACCCTCTCGTTCATTTTGTTTTTTTCTTTTACAATAAGGCCGATCTCCCATGACACAAATGACAAATGTCAGCGTTTAACCGGTGAGGTTTGTCACCTCGGCGCGACCACAGCCCGTGTTTAGCTTCACACGTCGCGGCAGCAAAGAGAAGTTAGCAAGAGGTGCCGGTACGATAGACTGAATCTCTAAAGTTGTTAGATCTTACAGTCCCACAAAAAGAGGTACGATAGACTGAATCTCTGAAGTTGTTAGATCTTACAGTCCCACAAAGTGAATAACAAACACAGGAATATGACTCGGCTCACGGCAAAGCCTTTCACAGACATCTCCAAACAATGAAACTTTATTTTAGATAAAGTTTTGTTGACCCAAGAATTTACCTGCAACAAAAGACACTGTGCGCCTCTTAAAGCTCTTTAAGTATTGAAAACAAAGTGGGAGAAATAATAATAATAATAATAATAACACCTATATAAATCTCAATATTTTCACCACAGCCTATGATAAACACACAGAATTGAGATTGTTCTGGAAAAACTAAATTCATTCATCTGATTATTTACACTCGTTTAACGTTCCGAATCTTGGTTTTGGAGAACATTTAAGACCTAGCTTCAGCACCAAGTACCATTATTTATCCCAAATATAAATCTACACCTTGAGGGGGAAAAAAAAAAACAACATTTCGCAGCTGTAACAACTCAGAAAACATTTCAGTGTTAAATCTACTGAGGTTGACGTAAATCATGGTCATCCGTTACACAAACGCAACAGTAATGCTCGGTCAGTTGACGTCGCCTTTCTATTTGATACAGATTCAAGAAGAAGCGGGAGTTTAGTGATTTGGACCATCAACACAGCCCTTAAGTCGGACGGAATCCTGAGTTCTACAAACATGATGGTCAGCTAAAAGTGCGTATTTATTACAAGGCCTTGATTCAGATGTGAACCATGTTAACAGGGGGGCTGCCAGCCTCATGTAGTGCTTCAAGATGAGGTAAACATATTTAAACAGGGTTTCAGGCTTTCGCTTTTTATCATATAAATATTCAAAGCTTGTGATCGACTTCAGTTATTAATAAAACATTACCAATGCTTTCCTCCCTGGACACACTTTGATTTTCTTTTTTGAATCGTCGACCAGTTGGTGTCAAATCTGTGCTCGGTATTTAAAGGCCTCTTGTTTAGTATATTCCACTCAGTTTCAGCTGACAGTAGGTAGTGTGAGGGAGGTTCTCTGGTTCCCATGTCTCTGACATGTCTTAGGAGAACGTTGCAGTGAGAATGGCCTCCTGCTGCTGGTGGTGCAGGGTCCCGATGCCAACAGCCGGGGCAGGCAGAGCAGGGCGGCTCACTAACCGGAGCTGGGGGGGGGGGGGGGGGGGGGGACGGATGAGAACATGCTGATGAACTTCAAACCATGGGGCTTTAAAATGGTGGGTCGTTTGTCACGTCACGTGACGCTCACCTTGCAGGACAGCTGCTTCTCGAACCGGGGATTCACAAAAGACCAGGCGCCCATGTTCTGAGGCTCCTCCTGACTCCAGACAAACTCTGTGAGAGCGTTAGAAGCCCAGTATGAGTCAATAAAACTTGGGAGTTGAGGACAAACGCACAAGCTGCTGGTTTGAAGCCCAGTATGAGTCAATAAAACTTTTTTTAGGAGTTTAGGACAAACGCACAAGCTGCTGGTTTGAAGTTTTTATACGAGGGGGGTGGGGGGGGAGTCAAGAAAAAAAAAAAAGGGATCAAAACCAGTGGAGGACTGGTTGTCATTTTAACCAGTTTCCATTTAAGTTAGGGTGAAAATTAAATCTTTGGTCTGATTTAAATAAAAAATTTGGTCTGATTTAAATGAAAAATGAAAAAAAAAAAGTTGGCTCCAATAAAAAAAAAACAAAATGTCTGACAAAAAAAGATTTGTCTTTTTAACATGACAAAATACTTATTATTTAGAAATATGTGACCCAAAACCCTGTGTAATTATCTCAGAGGTTTCGCAATGTAATATAATCTAATACTCCATTACTAACCCAAATTACTGTTCAACCATTTACCCTGTTTCTGGACCTATATGATTTTTTTTTTGTCCCAGTCGACCAGACAGCAGCTGTGGGTCAGTACAGGTAGCTACGTTACCTTTAGCATTGGGATACTTGTTTAGCTCCTGCTGCAGAGCCGCCAGAGGAAACGGACACAGCTCCTCCACACGAACCAGGGCAGTGTTCTGGTTGGCTGCTGATGCTTCTCTCTGTTTCAGCAGAGCGTAGTAGTGTTTCCCCGAACACAGCACCACCCTCTGGACACTGAGGGCAACCACACAGTAGTGAAAGAAATATTAAATGAGCTCTTTGTGCTAATTCAAACAGCCATTTTAAAATATTAAAGTCCTTATTTCCAAACATTGTGTTTACAATGAAATGTGAGGAATTTAAATTTGAATATCACCCGGTTTAGGGTTGTGATTGGTTGGCTTGGGTTAGATTAGATTAGACAAGAAAAAAATGACGGGTTGCGCATTTTAAGGGATTGAGCAAATGATTCATAATAAACCAGGGAACATTTGATTGTTTTTTTTTTTTTCTCAGTGTCACACCTTCCTGTGAACTCTTTGAATGTAGCTAAAACACTGGAGGAGTTTAATGTAACAGGCTCCAATGAAAGCTGATTTAGAACTGTAACTTTACACCGGCAATTACTGTCTGGGTGTGTGACACCTTAGTGCACACCTGCAAATTCAACTGAGAACACAGAGTCACATGTCAGAGATTAATGAGAGGCATAAACCATTGGTATCGACATTTTCTCTCTCTTCATACTCTGGATCTGTCCACTGTTTAGTACTGATGTGTGCGACACGTCAATTACAATTATGACCAAAAATAGAACAGGAAACTATTGTTTAAAACGCAGCCTCAAAATAATGTTTTTTTGGACGAAAAAAAAATGAAGACAAAAGAGAACAATTTGTATATACTAAAATGTTTGATTGACGTGCGTTGAATAGGACACGTGTTCCGCTCGTAAGGATTTGTTCAGTGAATAAAATGCTTAAAGTCAAACGTGCGCTTCTGAGTTCTGTTCTATTGTGCAAGACCTTTTGTGAAATTTTGAAGAGACTCAGTAATGCTTGAGTCTGTGTCGACAGCTCTGAGAAACAGTGTCTGGAAATGCCTCACCTCATGTCAGGTCCTGGTTGAAATACTGTCTTATGGGTCTCATACTGTGCATATATGTACTATTTTACAGTTTTATACATACATATACATTTACATATACATATACACATATATACATATACATATATACATATATATTTCTATATATGTATATACATATACATACATATACACATATATACATATACATACTGTATAAACCTATATACACATACATATATACATACCTATATACTGTATATACACCTATATATATATATACATACGTATATATACATATACATACATATACACATATATACATATACATATATATTTCTATATATGTATATACATATACATACATATACACATACATATACATACATATATATACATACATATACATATATACATATACATATATACATATACATATATACATATACATATATATATATATATATACACATATATATACATATATATACACATATATATGTATAGAGTTTGGGGTTAGGGTGTGGTGTGTCAGGTCATGTACCTTTCGGCTGAGACTGAGGTATCACCCAACACTGGTCTGAAAGAGGTACCAGGTGCCATCTCCTCTAAACTGGACACTGCCCCCTGTGGAATAAATTCACATACTTCACCACTTTCAAAAACATTTGGACGTATGACGTGAGAATCGTTAGAGACGGCGTGCCCGGTTCTCACAGAAAATCTGAGCAGAGTCTTGGGGCCGACCACGATCAGAGGTTTGCGGAAGTTTCGGATCATCTGCCGCCTCAGCCGGGGGAAGTACTGAGCTCACCTTCAAAAACATTTGGACGTATGACACGTGAATCGTTAGAGACGGCGTGCTCGGTGCTCACAGAAAATCTGAGCAGTGTCTTGGGGCCGACCACGATCAGAGGTTTGCGGAAGTTTCGGATCATCTGCCGCCTCAGCAGGCGGAAGTACTGAGCCGGG